CGTGCTGCGCCAGGCAAGAGCCGAGATGGGTGGGCGGGTGCCCTGTTTATAAATAGGCTTAGCTGAGATGTGTGCCTGGCTCCCGTTTGTAACGTCCTTTGCCAGCCTAAACCGGGATGCAGAACTGTCGTTATCAGTGGTTTGTGTCACTGGAAGCTCAGAGCTGAGCTTCATTGGTTTTGTTGGAGAGGTGGCCTTGCCCTCCTGGTCTGAGCACAGTAGCTGGGGTGTCCTGCAGCTCCTGAGCCCCTCCCTCAGCGGGCACGCGTGCCATCCATCCCAAAGCGATGCCTGGCTGTGGGGTGACGGCTTGGTTCCGGCAGGGGGGCTGGGGACCGGCCTTGGCGGAAAGACCAGAAGGGAGCTGTGCGTGAGGGTGCACGTCCAGTCCCTCGTGCACACCTCGCCCCTGCGGGCTGATCTGCAGGGTTGCAGCTCCAGGACGCCTGGTTCCATCAGGCTGGGAGAGCGAGTGTCCCCGGTGTGAACCTGCCAAGGAATTTGTTTGCACTGTTTACACAGCTTACTGTGATCCGCTTTGGTCACGCTCGTTGTCCTGTGTCCTGCAGGCATCCGAGTGCTGGATGGGCCCCTCACCGACAGCATGGAGGCCATCGCCTTCAACAAGCACTATCAGATCAACGACATCTACAGCTGCAGGTGAGCCCCACGGGGACCCCGAGCCTTTCCCGCTCTGCCTGGGGAGGGGGTCACACCTCGTGGCTGAATGCTCACGCCAGCTCCTCTGCTCCTGTGGCTCCAGCTAGCCCCAAGGCACCGAAATTGGTACGGCTTTTGTGGGTGGTGGGAGCGTGCAGGCAGCCAGGCTGTGGGGCAGCAGGTCTGTCCCACAAAGTGAACACCCTGCCTGTCCCCTGGGCTCGGTGCCCACCCAGGCCCTGCAGTCAGGCTATCCAGGGGCTCTGCACAGCTGAATCTGGAGGGCATCTGCAGCCTGGCACGTACAGTGGTGCTCTTTATTACTGCTCTGGTCGTGAGGTCTTCTTCTGAGCGCTGCTGCAGCAGCTCATGCGGGCAGGCTGAGCTGAAGGGGCACTGTGGCCCCCGCTGTGGTTAGGGAGCACTGGCCGAGCCTTGGGACGGGGACTGGAATGTGTGAGAAGTTGGTTGTTAAATAAAAATCAAACATTTCGTCCACTGGAATCTGACCCAGGGGCACAGTGCAGGCACGACAGTGATATCCCAGCAGCAAGGGGCCAACCTGACGGATGGGAAAGTACAGTGCCCTCTGGTCCCAGTCATGGTGCTGGGAATAGCTGGCGGCTGCTTGTAGCTCACTGTAGTGGCAAACTGTAACGGGAGGAAGAGTTGCTGTCTGCGACTCCTGGGGTGGTCGCTTCATGGTGTCTCTCTTTGCAGCTGGGGTCCGGATGATGATGGGAAAACCGTGGATGGCCCCCATCAACTGGGAAAGGTAGGAAAGAGTCCCAGCAGCACGGGTCCCCCGCGGGCTGGCCCTCCTGTGCTTGCGGTTTCTTGCCTGCCTGGACAGGCGAGGAGGGACACTGCCGTGGCACAGCACACGCGTGTGTGCTTCCATCGCTGCCAGCGGAGGTGTTCCACCTCACCGTGCGGTGGGCAGAGGTGGCGTTGCTGTGAGAAGGCAGCGTTCAGGCAGTGTTGGATGAGCTTCCAAGGAGAGGCTGGTTCCAGCAGGAAAAGGCTCTTTCGCAACCTCTGGTATTATTCGGACAACTTTTGCAACCCAAGGGACGCTCTCCACTCAGGAGACCGAGCATTCCTAGTGCTACTGGTGGCTCTCAAGGCAGGGAGCGTGCCTTCGAATGCTGGGAGTGACTGAGGGACTGGGGTGATGGCCGTGTTCGCGCTCGGTGGGACCGCAGCGAGGGCAGGGTCAGAGCTGAGGTTGCTCCCGGGGCCATTACAGCACTCTCGTGGCACCCGTGCCGCAGGACCACTGTGAAACGCAGCCACCACCCGGGTGCCACGGCAAGGGGTCACTGAGGGGGCCCCGAAACTGGCACTGCCTTGCTGCTGGGCGGCGGTTCTGCTGAATTTCTCTTTTGCTTGGCAGCCTTTTGCTGCGCTTCTCTAACCGCGAGACAGCAGTTACTGTGCTGCTGGGAGCGGCGCTGACCACGGGGCTCTCGGCTCACGCTGACAAGTGGTTTCCGTTCTGCAAGTGAATTTGTTCCCTTCTGCAGGCAGAGGCAGCCGGACAAAACCACGG